ATGTTTCCTACCTCATTTCATGTCACTATATTCCAGGTATACTGTTCCAGAATCTCAAACAGGCACACATCCACATTAACTCTCATACCTTTGTTTCCTTCATAATATTTACTACACTGTTTATTCTTTCATTTCTGTATTTACTTTTTTCTCTATCAGGCTCCTAACTAAAATACGTTTGTCCTTGCTTCCCACTGTTTTTCCCAAAACCTGGTAAAAGACCTAACATAAGATTTTTAGATTTTTGTTCCCTGACTGGATGAATGAACAGATAACAGCAATAGATGTCATTGCAGAATAATCTTCCCATGCAAAGAAAGTAAGTGCTAGAAGATATCATTAAACATTAAATTCTCAAATTCTGTTATGGCTTGCACAGATAATGTAAACTATTAACAGTAACACAAAGAAACTGAAAGAATAGCCTGTAAGAATACCTCATTTGGTTAAGAATCTCACATATGTTGTAAAATAGTCACGAAATGAAATATATAAATTTATGTACTGAAGCTTCATTAATACTGTGCAAACAATGACAAGTAAGTAGCAACAAAAAGACATGTTTTCAAAGAGGGCTGGGAAAGAATTTTCTCTTAGCAAGTACTCAGTAGGCGCATGATGATAACGATCATGATTAACTATTTGCCATTCCAAACACTTTACTTAAATCTATTCATTTAACCCTAACAGGTACTGATTTCATTGTTAGGAGGAAACTGAAATGGCAAGAGGTTAAGCCAGTAACTAGCCCATGGGTTGCACAGTCCTAAAAGTTGGAATTTGAAAGAAGCCTATCTAGCTTCATTGCTCTGGCACTTAACAATATCTACCTCGTGCTTCCAAAAAAAATAATTTATAAAGACCAAGGTTATTATTTTTTAATTTTAAAAAATGTTTTATTTATTTTCGAGAGAGAGAGAGAGAGAGAGAGAGAGTGCAGAGGGGGAGGGGCAGAGAGAGAGGGAGACAGTATCCGAAGCAGGCTCCAGGCTCTAAGCTGTCAGCACAGAGCCCGACAGATGCAGGGCTCAAACCCACGAATCGTGAGATCACGATCTGAACCAAAGTTGGGCACTTAACCAACTGAGCCACCGAGGCACCTCAAGGCCAAGGTTATAACTAAAGAGCCTCAAGAACAAGAGAAAACATCACAATGAAATACTGAAAAGATTTTGTATCTCTAAATTCCAACAAACTCTTTAGCAATTTCAGTTAGACTAGCTGGGACAGGATTATTCAATGGGTCGTCCTTGCTTAATTAAAAAATGCCTTAAGCTTTAAATGTCTTAATCTTTTATCTGACACAGGAAAAGTGTCTCCTGTTCAAATTTCCAAAACCTTCAAGGAGGATAATATTTTTAAATGAGCTTTACCGAAGGGTTTACATAATGTGTAATATCAGTTCGGCAAACCCTAAACAGTTGCTTTCCAAAACAGAGTTTCTTGAAGCAATAAACTCTTTAAAACTTTACCCCTAAAAATACTTGCAAATATGTGAAAGCAGATTATTAACTAATACAACAACAAACATGTTATCACTTAATTCATTAAGTTTGTTTCTGCGGTTAGTAAAGATTCTCTAATCTGGAGTTTATGTCTGTACCAAAGAGAGAGAGAAAAGCTAACAAAAAGCACTGGGCAAAAGAACAGCGATATTAAGTATTTGGCTCTATAATCTCTAAAAATGAGGAGATACTTAAACAGGTTTTGTGAAATCAGGAGAAAATGAAACAGTTCTCAATAAGACAAAAGATGAACTATTTGACAGTAGCTATTTACCCAAAATAAAATAGAGAAATGAATCAATAGATTAAGAGATAATATATCAGAATATTAAAATTACAAACAGCTTGGGGAGATTTTTTTTTTTAGCAGGAACAAAGAAATTAATACAGCATCCTTCTACTTATTACCAACGACAGTTACTCAATAGAGACGTGTTACAAAGATATCCTGACTTTTCCACTTGTCAGAAAGAAGACACCTTGATATCTGATAGTAATGCAGCATGAACTCAGGAAAACTGTTCTGAAGAACAGAACTAATTTTCTTTCTTTCTTTATTCCATTCCACTGCAAATCTTGGGAAGCACAGTGTTTTTGTTTTCCTAGAATTTACAGGAATAAATCAGCTAAGGGACACTTGGGTCGCTCAGTTAGTTAAGGGTCCGACTTCAGCTCAGGTCATGATCTCATGGGTCACAAATCTGAGCCCCGCATGGGGCTTTGTGCTGACAGCTCAGAGCCTGGCGCCTGCTTTGGATGCCGTGTCTCTCTCTCTCTATCCCTCCTTGCTGGCGCTCTCTTAAAAATAAATTAAAATTAAAGAATAAAAATAAAAAAAGAATAAATCAGCCAAAGAGGATTAATTCCCTTTAATACATAAAAGAAACCATTTTGATGCAAACCAGAAAATATTACCAAACCATAAAAAGATGCCTGGAATCAACCTTGGCAGAACAGAAAGAACATTTGTAATTTCTTTTCCGGTTCAAGGTCTGGCACTTCCTAAACCATATTACCTGAGGCAAGCCAATTACTGACTGTGGGCCCAATTCTTCCTCTGTTAAATGGGAAGAATATAACTGTATATTACAGAGATTGCTTCTAATACTACATATTGCTTTCAGTAGATTTTGGTGAAATGATAAAGTGTTTTACTTAATAGAGGTAAGTAAAGTTACTTCTAACCTACAGTTAACTATATGTAAGTACCAAAAACTTCACCTTCCTCTGCATTTGGAAATTTTTGTTCGGTAACATTTTATTTTTATTTTTTGGGAGACACAGCAAGAGCAAGGGAGGGGCAGAGAGAGAGGGAGACACAGCATCCGAAGCAGGCTCCAGGCTCTGAACTGTCAGCATAGAGCCCAATGAGGGGCTGGAACCCAGGAACCATGAGATCAAGACCTGAGCCAAAGTTGGACACTAGAACCAACTGGGCACCCAGGTGCCCTGAAAGACAGAGAATCTTAAGCAGGCTCCATACCCAGCATGGAGCCCCACGGTGAGATCGTGACCCGAGCCAAAATCGAGTCAGATGCTCAACCGAGCTACCCAGGTGCCCCTGCACTTGGAAATTTTTTTTTTAAGTTTATTTATTTATTTTGAGAGAGACCATGTGCACGAGGCAGGGGTGGAAAGGGGGAGAGGGAGAGAAAGACAGAAAGAGGGAGACTCTCAAGCAGGCTCCACACCAGCAGCACTGAGCCTTGACCTGGGGCTCAAACTCACAAACTATGAGATCATGACCTGAGCTGAAATCAAGAGTCAGATGTTTAACTGACTGAGCCACCCAGGCAACCTCTGCCCTTGGAAATTCTTAACTGACATTACATGATGACCAAGAAAGATCAAATGTGCAAAACTATACTCATTTTCTAGTCACCTACTTATTAACCACAGTGACTAATGCAATGGGTTACAGTATCAAACTATTCCTAGGTAGCTTTTATTGGGTTCAAAGTAGGGCAAAGATCATCTCAGAAGTGTGTGATACTATTTTCAGATAAATAACACTTACTATAAAACATCAAACTGTGAAATGATACAAAGCAACAGTATTCTGCACCGATGTATTTTCAGTTTTCAGAGGAAACTGATCACCATATTTTCCTTTATATAGTGATTTCCCATTTACTATCTTAATCATTGTGAGAATACTATGAAATAAAGTGAGCAGTACTTTTATCAACACAATCCAGACCAGCTCAGAAAGTTCGGTAACCTGCCAACCTTTATTCTGGAATGTGAGTCACAGAAATTAAACTGTATTATTCAAGTAAGATATAGCCCTCTAGGTGGAGAAAAAGGCTTTAGTGTTTTAAAATAACATAAGCAAAGAAGTTAAAATACAAAAGGTTTCTACTACAGAATCATTTCACACCCACACAAGCAGGCCACATTTGTCTAGGTACTACCATCCCTCTTCGAAAGGTCAATAAAAACATAATCTAGAATGCATAAAATATTGCCTAGTAAATAATTTCTTACCATTATCATTTATGCTAAGAATACACAACTAAAATCACAGCTCATGATAATACAATTAAGAGGCAGTAGCGGTCAGAACATTGAATTCTCTATCATTACAACACAGAAATACTTGTACAAACTTCTCCAAAAGATAAGCGCAGTCTACAAAATTTCTGACAACAGCCCCAAAGGAGAATTGAAACACACTGAAGTTACGAAAAGGGGGTGTCCTGTCATGATAGGTAAACAGTGCCGGAGCCTATATGAGATTTTTGCATGATTTGCATAAAAACAAAGATAATACTTTAAACCTACTGGAGGTCATTAAGTAAACTCAGTGTGACACAGGGCCACATATGGCTTCTTGGAATTTTAGAGATTAAGCCGATCTCCAGGTTTTACTGCAAGTACCCCCGCTGTGATAGAACAACGGGGGCGAGGTGGGTGTCAGAAATTTGGAAGAGGTAGAAAACCCTGCCCCTCATAAAGTAGTCGGCTATACATGAAGGGTTTTTTTGCAAAAGATCAACGGAGCGAAGGCCCCACTGCCTTGGCCACCAACGCTTTAGATGGCACTTACACGCCTGAAGCGAATGCATTTAGTATCATGTGTTGGTGGCTGGGGAGGGCAAGAACCAAACTGACAGGTCCGAAGAAACAGCTTGGTCATCAGCAGGGAGGATCTTCTCCACTTACTCTGAGGTTCTCGGTACCGGGGAAGGAAAAGGAGATGGGTACTCTACAGAAGCTTAGAACAGCTTCCAAGTCCGCGACGCTGAGAGCGAATGGTAGGAAATCCAGTGTATGGGTTCACTGTACGGAGAGCCAGCCATGAGGAGGTGTCCCAGATAACCTGGCTACCGCCAGACTGAGACGCTCAGAGTCAGCAGAGCCCTAACACACTGCTTGAAGTCGAAATCACGGTGCCCCAGATCTGCATGATCTAAGGTGGAGAGCTCCGGGAGAAGACAAGCCCTTGGCTAGTCTCAGGCTTTCGTCCCCAATTCCATGCGCTCGTTTACCTACCCGCTCTGACCCCGGCTTCTCCGGATCTCAGTATCCTGGAAGCGGCTCCCGTCTGACTCTCACACCCGCCGCTAGGGTCCAGCCAACCGGAACTCGCTCACGTCACTTCCGGTCCGTTTCCCACCCCCCATCCCTCCGGAGACCGCCTCCAAAACACAAAAGTTCCTTTTTCTTTTTTGCAACCTCCGAACATCTTCGCGGTATTTCAGTTCGGGTCTAGTTTCGGGACCTGTGGGCGGGACGAGAAGAAGAATGACTGTTCTTCTCGCGGTTCTTGATCCGGAACTTATCAAGGAGTCCCGGAAGAGGTAACCCGGGGGCCAGAAGCGTGTTCACTACGCGAAGGGAAAAACGAAGCGGCGCGAGGGAGGCGGTGGTGAGGTCTCTAGGTAAGTCGGCTCCTCACTGGGCTAAGGAGAGAGAGATTGTTTTCCATCCTCTCTCCAGTTGCAATGTTTCTTCCCACCTCATTACATACCTCCTCCCCAGAGCCTTTCACCTTCTCCTTCGTGAACTGTCTTCTCCCCAACTGGACGCTGGAGCCACGGTTCCTGTTCCGTCAGTCGTTATTTGAAGAAAGGACCAAGATCCAGGGAAGGAGAAGGACCGAGAGTTTCTAGTTCCCAAGCAAAGCCTTCATTCAGGCGGCATGGATGCTCTCGCTCTGAATGTTAGAAAATACCGCGCAGGCCTATTCAATATTTATTGAATACCCACAGCGTATGGAATGGAATCCTACAAGGAAAGAAAAGGTTTTCCACGAATATGATAGAAAAATGTGGCTGTGCAACACAGTTATAATGTTCGGAGAAGTATTTAATCCTTTAATTTGTTATCCCAGGCACTAGACTCCTGAAAACGCGATGTACGGTCATTATGTGTAATTGCTACAGCAGTTCTGTAGAGTAAATAATTAAGATTGATTGGGGGGTGATAAAACTTCAGAGACTGGTGTCGTTTGAACCACGCCTTCATGGCTGAAAAGGTTGTGTGTGTTTGTGTTTTTAAGGGAAAATAATTCCCGGGAGAGATTGCTCTTAGAAGGGACCTAGTAATTTAGTGTCGCTGGATAGTACAGTATGTAGCAGGAGAGTAGATTAAGAGAAGTAGGTAGCAACCAAATTGTAGTGCTTTGAATTCGTGCTAAGGGGTCTGTTTTATACTCTAGGCATTTATCTGATGATATATTTTTAAGTTTAATTTATTTTGAGAGAGAGAGAGAGCAAGCAAGAGAGGGGCAGAGGGAGAGAGAGAGAATCCCAAGCAGGCTCGGAGCTGGATCTCATGAACGGTGAGATCATGACCTGAGCCAAAATCAGAAGTAGAACACTAAACCGTCCGAGCCACCCAGGCGCCCCCATCTGGTGGTTTTTGAGCAGGGTAAATTCCAGGATCAGATTTGTGTTTTAGAAGTATAATTTTAGGGGTGCCCGGGTGGCTCAGTCAGTTAAGCTTCAGATTCTTGATTATAGCTCTCAGGTCATGATCTCACACTTTGTGAGTTCGAAGTCCACATGCAGCTCCCCCAGGAGCCTGCTTAGGATTCTCTTTCTCCCTCTCTCTCTGCCCTCCTCTCACCCCCGCCAAATAAATAAATAAACTTTAAAAAGAAGAAGTATAATTTTAACTGCAGATGGACTAGGATGAGCTAGGATATGTTAGGGCACTGGTAGTAAGGGTAAGGAGATAGGTTCAACACAGATAAATTCAACAAGGTTTGGTGATGATGTGGTAGGCCAGTGAAGAAAAAGTCCAGGGTTACTCAGAAATCAAGAATACAGAAAAAGGTAGGCCACATGGATGGCTGTTTGTTGAGCATCAAACTCTTGATTTCGGCTCAGGTTATGATCTCATCATGGGAGCAAGCCTCGCATTGGGCTCTGCACTGACAAGTGGGGAGCCTGCTTGGGATTCTCTCGCTCTCTGTCTCTGTCTCTCAATAAATAAATCATAATGAAAAAAATAATACAGAAAAAGGAAATTTAAGAGGGAAAGGAAAATACTGAGTTCAGTTTAAGATACAGATTGGAATACTTCATAGTGCTCTAGTAGAAGCTGGAAATTCCAGTTTGGAGCCCAGGAGAGGTGTCAGGAGTCCTCAGCATATGACAGTTTGGGAGTAAATGAGCTCCTTCTATTAGATGTCAGCTCCACGAAGAGTGAGACTTTGTTTTGTTCAGTGCTCTAAGGTCCAGAACAGTGCCTGGTACACAGTAGGCCTTCCATAAATATCAACTGATTGGATGGCAAGAGAGTATATAGACCGTCACTATCCAATAGAACTTTCATGGAAATATTCATATTCTGTAGCTCAGTAGAGTGACCATTAGCCACTTTTAAGTTGTTGAGCTGTTGAGCACTTGAAATGTGGCTAAGAGCAATTAAAGAACAGAATTTTTATTTAATTTTAATTAATTTTAAATAAATGACTAATGGATACTGTATTGGACGGTGTCGGCATAGACTGAAAAGAAGGCTAAATGTGTTATGCAGAGGCAAACATCAGAGCTAGAGGAGACTGGAAAAAAAGCTGTCGGAAAGGTTGGATGATAGTAGGGTGAAAGATTAAAGGATTGTAGGGCGGAAAGTTTGAAGAACAGTTATCAGTGAGTGGTGGGGGAAACTCAAGGTGAGGCCTAAAAAGAGGCAAGTACACTTGGCAATTAGCAATTTCAGTTGAATGGGGAAGGGAGGCAGGTAATTAAAGAAGTTTAGAGGTAGGTAAAGGGAAAAAGAAAAGTCAGACAGTGGTCCACATCTCAAAAAGCATTGGGGAAAGGTTTTTTTTTTAGGTTAGAAAAGCCAAGGTATGGCCCCGGGGAGTGGGATTAAGGGGGGGGGGGGAGCATGGTTCAGGAGGGAATGGGATCAAGAGCATTGGTGAAAGGGGCTTAGTCTGGGAGGAATTAGAGCACACCAGGAGGAGGATTTTTACAGGACATGTTTGTTTTGCAATGCATTCATTGCCCAGGATTATCCATGAGACTAAGAACAGTTATATTTACCTTAGTCTCAAGCACTGGGTTTACTGATACATGTGTAGTGTATATGCAGAAAGGGGGAGAGGCTGAAACACTTGGAGGAATTAGACAATGATGTAATCAGGCTGACAGGGGATTAGAACATCCTAAAGAATAAAAATGTTAGATATTAATGGTAATAGTATGGAAGAATTAGAGACTTCATGAGGTATGGTACAGAAGCAGTAAACTTCATAATTTCTGGAACTTTTTCTGCTTTCAGTTTTTTCTGACTCTTACTGGTATATATTTGTTTTTTGGTGGTTTGTTTTGTTTTTTCTTTGGTTTTTTTTGAGAGTGAGAACAAGGGAGGGGCAAAGGGAGAGAGAGAGAAGAGAATCTTAAGCTGGCTCTGTGCTCATGAAATGTGAGATCATGACCTGAGCCGAAATCGAGAGTCAGGATGCTCAACTGACTGAGCCACCCAGGCACCCTGGTATATATCTGTTTTTAGATAAAGTTCAGAAAATGAGAGGCTTTCTGTCATGATCTCAAGATGAGTATATTTTATACTACTTTTATCAGTTATGTTATTGTGGTTAGCAGCTTCTATTTTGGATCCTTATTTTTTCATCTTTAAAATGAGGCTCATGCCTTTTTAAATTTTCACAGCAACCATAATAGAAGTAAAGGGGTGAGCAAGTTATACGACACATAATAGGTCCTCTATATGCAGTCCCCATCTCCAGATAGTACCTGAATCTGGTATGTAGGATATTTGATTACTTTGCAGCCTAGAAATTGGTGCAGAAAAATCCTTCTAATTGTTGACATGGAGGTTATAGATATAATTTTCACATAATTGAGTATTTATTCACTTTGGAATCTGGTTGTTAGATTACCAGAGAGAAATCCTGATATGTGAGCCTCATGTAGTAACTAAATGATAGATGCGTTCTGAGAAAATGTGGGTTCTCATAAGAATTTAAATTTTTTTCTTACTGTAAAAAGGCATCTAGAGCCATAAAGTACTATGTCAGTACAGCCCTGTCACCATATTATTCATACCAGTGAAAGAGGACTGAAACTAGATACTGACCCCTTAAAATGTGTGACCCTCTTTCCTCTGGACATTCCATGTCACTCTCCTTTGATCCCTCAATGTTTGTTTCTTTAGAATTCTGTTTTAGCCCTTCCTTTACTTTGTATGTTTTTACCAGTGGCCTCATGCACTTTCGTCACTTCAGTAACCTCAGTTATATGTTGTTTTCTTAAAGCTGTATTTCTGGCCTAGGCTTATCTTCTGACCTCTGAAATGATTTATCCTTTGTTGTTGGACATCTCTAACCAGAGTGTCTTTTGGTCACCAAGTATAATATATCTAAAGCTGATTTCAGTATCTTTTACTTTCAAACCTGCTGTTTCACTAAAATTCTCCTCTTCCATAAATAGTGCCTCTTCTCCATCTGTTCAAATCGAGGTCATTCTAAACTTCTCCCTTTTATCACCAAGACTTCCAGTGAGTCACTAAATCATACAGATGTGCCTTGGCCACTTCTTTCCTTTTTCGTTACCACTTCTCTTGTCTAAGTAACTGTCACCTCACCTAGACTACTGGGAAAGACAAAATAGAGTAGCGTTAAGAACATGGGAATGAAGTACTGATACATGCCTCAACATGGATGAATCTTGAAAACATGCTAAGTGATAGAAACTTCAAACAAAAGGCCACATATTGAATGGTTTGATTTATATGGATGTCCAAAATAGGTAAAATAGATTAGCGATTGCCAGGGACCTGGGGGTGGAGAAAATGGAAAGCAACTGCTAATGGTTACACATGTTCGGGTTTTGTTTGTTTGTTTGTTTTGCATGCACAAGCAGGGGAGTGGAGCAAAGGGAGAGAGAATCTGTCCCAAGCAGGCACTCTGTTCACTGTGGAACCCGATTGCAGGACTCAATCTCATGACCCTGGGATCGTGACCTGAGCTGAAATCTAGTCAAAAGCTCAGCCAACTGAGCCACTCAGGCTCCCCAAGGGGTTTCTTTTTGAGGCAGTGAGAGTGTTCTGGGATTAAATAGTGGTGATGGTTGTACAATCTTGTGGATATATTAAAAACCACTAAATTGTACACTTTA